ATATATATATATATATATATATGGATCTAATCAAAACGGAAGAAACGGGTTCCTGTGAAACACTTGTCGGTTCGTATAGGCAACAGCATTTATACTGAAGTAATTTTTTTCCAAATAATGATAAATAAGCCTTGGTGAGTCTTTATAGACGTGATTTTTCTGATTCGTATATACTCAGCAGTTGGAATGGTTCAGAATGTAGCGGATACTCCCATATATTTAATACCGGCTTGAGAGCAAGCAAGGTGCCAACGGCAAAACAATAACAATATAAATTACGTGAGGGGGGGGGGAGAGTGGGAGACGGATACAGATATAGAGCCAGTTTCGCAGTTCATAATCAGTCATTGCCATTCTTGGATATCAGAATGTCCTTTCACCTCACTTTATTGTTCGCCGGTGATTTCATCTGGCTTACTTAAACAAGATTTTCAAGTCATACACTGCGGTCTGACGATAATCGGTTGCGTTTCCTGAACACCCATGAACGAGTCACTTGTGAAACTATCAGCTCAAAACAGATCTTGCGTAAACCTTGGAATCCAAGATCCCAGTGCACACGAGATTGTATTTCATTCACGTCTGAATCAATACAGTGTGCCTAACAAATAATTGTACAGCAGTCTTTGTAAAAAAGGGAAAGTTAAATGATTCGTTTTAATGGGTGAAATATTGCCAGGCTGTATAGGCCAAAGCAGGTGAATTTTCTTGGACAAATCACAGTGTTTGACCAGATAAAGTCTGACCTACAAGGCAGAAGGGTGGGGTGGATGAAAACTGCAATCCTTTGAGGGCCGGTGTCCAGCTCATCGGATCATACACCCATTGGATGGTGTTAAATATCCAAGAAGCCCAATCGAGCTGGTGACCACTACCACAACCAAGAAGGTGCGGGTGAGTGCGTGGTTCGTTTACCTATTCTGGGTTGGTTTGGTATCAGAGGCTTAAGCCAAATCCCTTTGGTGAACTGCCAGTGGTTCATCGATCCACTTATAGCTCCAGATGTTGGCTTTTCATCCTTTGTTGGGAGAAAACATTTGCCAAGAGAAGGCACAGAGTAGGACTTTCTCAGGCGAGGCTTTTTGAGTGGCCTGGTCACATAGAAGAGTTTCGTAAGATGCAAGAGAAAGGCGACCAGTGACAGCCTGAGACACCCACCCCGAGGTTTTCGGAGATACACAATCTCGTTCACATCCCAACACGCTTTAAATTCTGATGTGTACCATCTCATATAGAAGTTTACCTAAGTGCGATTGTGTCCCATGTTGAACGTGTACTCAAAAACAAAGAGGGTTGTAGGTTGATTTTATGACCATTGTGAGTAAGTGATTTTCTCCTCGAAATTTGTTCCGTGACAGTTGATGACTGTCATTTGATTTTCAACTGAAATGTAAGCTTTCGTGCTAGCGAAGTTGTCTATGACAATTTTAAAACGATCAACAACCTCAGCTGTGGAAAATTAAACTGGTGACCCTTTTTAAGGTACCAACAGGATGGGTACACTATTCAGCTGGACAACAGCAATACGAATCAGCACCGTTCGGAGTATTGCCGATGCAATACAGTACCGTACAAACAAATATGATTCACAGCACACGACTAATTCTGTTGATTACTCAGTAAATTCCTTTACTTGTGCATTACCCTACAGATAACACATGGAGTTATGCGGGCACCAGACAGCTGGAACTGCAAAAGCTAAACCGAATTATTTTGGGAATGGAAGACAGCGCCAGTACGGGTGAGATGGCCGAGATGTACAACTCGTCTGCACTTGAATTTTCCCGTGCCCTTCAGTCCGCGGATAAGGAAAGTTTGGACAAGGTGAATGGACTGAACGGACAATCACATTCCGGTAGACAAACGGATAGAAGTGGCTACTACTTGGATCAGCAAAAATCTGATGAACATTTTGAACGAATGGAGAAGGCGGACAATTCGAAGCATAGACAACTGGACGAGCTTGATCATAATCGAATACCCGGTTCATCAATGGTAACGTATTGTGAATCGGTTAGCCCGAATTCGACTAGCAACGATCGACCCATGTCGGCAACCAGTGATCCTGACTCTTCTTCTCTGACTGGTGATGCCACTCGACCGGAAAGTAGATCTTCATCGTCAAAACGAAAACAACAAAGGAGCCGAACAAGTTTTACAAACGATCAACTGGAAGAACTCGAACGAGGTGGGTTAAAACTTTTGTTTCCGAAAGGTCGACTGTTATACATGACCGTGATTATTTGACAGGGCAGGGTAATTGCCCGTTTGAGCTTCAGCTAAAACGTCAGCTACCACAGGTTTGTCAAATTGAAAACGTAGGAGCGTTTCAACCGGATGGTATGAGTGGGCAGTACATAATTTAAGTGATCTGTTCTGGCTATTAAAAGTACAGTAGCATCGGTGGGGTCCAAATCCAGGCATAACCTATGCCTACGCTTTGGTGCAACGGACGTTCCATCAGAAGTATATGGAATCAATCCACCAGGTAGCATGCAAGCCGACTGCGATAGCAGATTCTCCTCCGAATTGATATTTCAATGTGCATTCATGTGTCCAGTGTTATAGTGAAGCATAACCTCTAACCTATCAAGTTCGCACGCTACTGTACTAAGAAAATGTGTTTTTCTGCATATATACATACATATATTAC